GTGGGAAACTGTGTCGAACGCTTTGGTAAAGCATTCCCTTGGCTGAAATGCAATAAATTTCCATGCACTTTTAAACTCCTTAGCTATAGGCATCTAGTGTTGCTGCCTACATTAAGAGTCTAAGCAATAGTCTAAAATAGAGAAATATGAGGCTCTAATTCTGGTGCTTTTCTCCACACCTGGGACCCTCTGCTGAATATATAGGAAGCTTCAGACCTAATTTAGGCATCTGAGACTGCAGTTCCAAGGCAGCGCAAGAGACACTGCCTGCTGGTTGTTCAGGCTCTTTTCTCCTTCCTGCACCCAGTGAGCATTTCCACTCATTGCTGGACTTGTTCCAGATCTCACAGGGCTCTTTGTAGGTGCATTTCAGCTGTATTAATGTAGCACAAGACTAACCATCCAAAAAAAAAAACCACAAACCCAAAAACCAACAACCAACCAACTAAAACACTCAACAGAAAAAAGAGCGCGAAAAGCTTTTTGTTACCTTAAGATACTTAAACAGCTCAAGGGAGATGGCGTCAGATCTCAGGAAATGAAAATGTGTGTTCAGAGTGTAAATATTCTGCCACAACCACAATACTACTCAGCAAACCAGGTTAGCTTTGTCTACAATGGTATTCCTGCAGCCACCCTGGCAAAATATGGTTTGGACAAGCCCACTACAAAGCTGGTGGGAAACTGGAAAGGCTACTGGGCTCAAAAGGCTGTGCTCAGCAGTATGAAATCCAGCTGGCAGCTGGTTACTAGTGCTGTTCCTCCCAGGCAGATACTGTTGCTGATACTGCTCAATGCCTTTATTAATTATCTGAAAGATGTAATGGAAATCAGCAAGTTTACTGATAATATCAACTAAAGGGGAACTGCTGATATGCTGAAGGGCTTGGTTACTAATCAGAGAGACCTAGAGAGGCTGGAAAAATGGGCTGTCTGTGGTTTCATGAAGTTCAGCAAAGGCAAATGCAAAGTCCTGTACCTGGAATGGTAGAGATACATACATGGGATATTCCCATGCAATAGTACAGGCTAGGAGCTGACAGGAGGCAGCTTAGCAAAAATAGGCTTGGAAAACCCGGCAGACAACAAGGCTCTTGAAGTAATGACAACTGATCCCCTTTATTCAGTACATGTAAGACTGCTTCTGGATAATGTGTCCAGCATTGGAACAGGTTGCCCAGAGAGGCTGTTGAATCTCCATTCTTGGAGATATCAAAAACTCATATATGACATGAGCTACCTCAGTTAACTTTGGAAACTAGATCTAACTTTAAGGTTGACCCTGCTGTGAGTTGGTATTTGATCAGATGACTCTAGAGGTCTCTTCCAATACAGATTATTGTTATTCTGTGATTCCAACTGATGTTTATTTTTGAAATAGCTTGATTCAAGTACCACTTGTATTTTGGGATGCTGTAGAACAATTACACTTAGTCCAAAGGCAAACAATGAAAATCAGCAAAACTATGAATCATAGCCTACAAATAAAGAATGAAAGAGCTGGAGTTGTTCAGTCCTAATGACAGAATACCGAGGGGACATATGTCTTTAAATACACATGGCCGTTGCAAAGAGGAAAGAAAATATGCATTTTCCATGTCGATATTGGATAGTACAAATAATAATAATATTAATCAGCGAAAGACATTTAAGACTTGACATGAGGAGAACTTCACAGATGTATTAACAGTTAAGCAGATTGCTTAGGGAAGTTATGGAAACATTACGACTGAAGGTTAAGCACAAGGTCACTTTGGCTATGAGTATTTTAGATATAATTGATTCAGCTTTGGGGTAGCAGAATGAATCTGGGAACTCCTTGAGGTCACTCCAAGCCATTTCCTGTGACTGCAACATAAAATGGCCTAGCTGTCTGAATACACTTTGTGTTAGCAATTAGGCATATTTTCACTGAGAAACAGCTGCAGAAATTTCACATACCACTCCAGATTAGATTCATGCTGCCAGAGCTACTGTTCTAACTTAATGCAATATCACATGATTACTTCTCCACGACTTTACAGTAGTTTGGAACTTGATTGTTCAAGCTATCACGGTAAAAAGAAATCACTGGAGTCTCAGCAAAAGAGAATAACCATTCACTCCTTTCCATATTAAGGAGATGGTAACTACTTATTTGCTGGTAGAGATGGTGTCTCATAAGTGATACTGAGGGGCACTGTGATGCTGTTGGGAAGCTTGCTTGACCCAACACAGTACCTTTTCTGTGAATGAAGAAACTAGGTTCTTAATGCTATCAACAGGTATTTATCAAGATAATTAATAATAATTTAGGATGGTTCTCCAATTACATTAAAATAATGAAATAGAAACAGAAGTTGCCTTCACATACTTTCCATTTAATATTGCTACACCAACAGTGCTCCTCGGAGTTGACATACTAGCTACAAAGTTCCACTGACGAGCCTGTGGATCCCATCTTTCTACAGTGTTCAGGTAGCTCCAGCCATCATGTCCTCCTACAGCATACATGGGACCTTCCAATACAGCTACTCCTAAAAAAAACAGATACAAGAAACAATTGCTTCTGGATAAGGGGAAAACAAGATCACATTTTCCGAGTGACAGTCTGGCATGCACCAATAAGTATTTAAAAACAAATTTCAAAAATTTCCTTTTGGTAGCCAATGCTGGATATCATCTGAAGAAGAAAAGATGTTCAATAAGCAGCTGCCACTAAAAAGGTTTTCACCCCCCTAAACTTAATTTCTGATTTTTTTGACTAATCCTAAAACAGATAACCTTTTAAAAATATGCATTCAAGCTTTACAGAACTCTGCATACCAAGACCATGACGATGAGTAGACATAGGTGGCATTACAGTCCAAGTTTTCATTCTAGGGTTGTAGCACTCCACAGTATTTAATGTTTTCAGTCCATCTCTGCCACCAACAACATACAATTTATCATCCAAGACTGCAACTCCAAACTGTAATCTTCGTCCATTCATGTTTGCAACAGGAGTCCACACATTGGTACGAAGTTCGTACTTTTCAATACTTGTAGCTCCTGAATGACAACATATGCAAGTTATTAAAAAAAATAAATCTGAATTATTAGGATGGCCTTTATTTTAGCAATATGCTGATCCTACAAGACAGTATGACATCCTGCAGCATGTTCTTAATTGTATATATACAAATAGTCTTTTTTGACTATTTTGACTTTCCTCCTCAGGAATTAACCATATAAAGAGGACTTCCTCAGGGCTTTTCAAATGAAAAAGTAGGATTTCTAACTGCTTTGCAGAATCAAGCCTTTAGAAATACAAATGTTAGGAATCTAAAACAAACCTTGTGAAATGCAATTATATATTGAAAGCAACTGTTTTGTAACAGAAAAAATCTGAAGCTGTGTGAGATGATGTACTAAAAGTGCTAACTTTAAAACAATGAATGAATGAAAACACTTTCTTTGCCCTTACTTTTCGAACTTGCCAGATTCCTTCTAACTACCATTAAACAGTATGGAAGTGTCTACAAAAAAGAAAATCCAAGTAACTGTTACAGAACCATTTAACAATTAGTCAAAAAGCATATTTTTTTGTTTCTTTTATGCATATACAGGTCACTTTTGTGCCTTTTCTGTCATTTTCTTCCTTTTCCAAATTACTTCCCACTCAAGTAAACAAAAATTAGTTTTAACTCATGTCAATATTTCACTATTCAGAAATCAGATATTCCCTTGATAATTTCCAATCAATCATAACACTAACTTCTGGAATGTTTACAGTATTATCAAAGCTACAGGGGTTTTTTTAACCTAATAAACTGTGTGCATTGAAGACAATTCATGTTCTGTGTTGCAGAGTCTTTGAATTTTAGAATTAACATGTTGTAAAAACCAAAACAGCTCATCAGCTAAGCATTATATGAGCCAATACCTTTTGTTGCATCCATTCCTCCAACTGCAAACAACACGCCCACTGTAGATTTTCTAGGTTTGGTGCGAGGACTTTGCAACATAGGTCGTCTCTCTGGCAACAGATGGTACTTCATTGCTTCCATAATAAGTTTTTGACATTCAATGTCATCTCTAAAGAGTGCATTATTTTCCATATCTGCCAGAAACTGTGAAAAAGAAAGAAAATTTAAAAAGCTGTATTGCTATAAACCACATGAAGAATAAAAACAAGATTTAAAAAAAACCCCAATTTTATCCAAAGACTTCTAATGCCTGAATTAAAATCTATGTATTTTCAGAATGGTCATATAAAAAAGACTAGGGTAAAGATGAACTTGTAATAAACAAAACATTCATATTTTAAACTAAGTCACTAAGTACACAAAAGGTCATCTGATCTTAACGGATGATTTAAGCTTAATGGTCCCAAGGAAGAAAACAATCTCCTTACGTTCCAGTGCCACTACAGGTATGTTCAAGGTAATGGAATCAAACTCCAGATATGTAAGTCAGTTTAACCTCATGCTCTTACTTCTGAATCCACTCAGTCCAGAGGTCTGCAGAAGCTGCTCCAGGCACAGACTGAGTATTTCAATATATATTCTATTCCTCATTGACAGTGACCCAGATCACAGTATATCAATTAACACAAGCTTTTGTTAAAAATGTTAAGATCAAGGATACAAGCAAATTTGACAAGTGTTAAATTTTAAATCTGACTTAAATTAAATTCAAGTTGAATAAAGACTACTAATAAAAGTTAAGTTTGAAGATTCTGGAGTCTTTCGTATTCCATGTCTGTCAGACTACAGGAAAAATACTTTAGTAGGTTGACTGTCCCAACTGTAATTATGAGAAGTCTAGACAACTGGCATTTTTCTAAGCTGCAAGGCACGGCCTGAGTAGCAGAGAAAAAAAAGCAAGTGAAGTGCTCCACCGGAACTTGGACAGTTATCAGAGCAATGAGAAAAAGGCAAATGCCTCTAAACTGCCATCACAAAATCCACACACTTTGTGAATATTAGAAATGTTAAGTCCACAAACTAGAATGAGACGTCAGCGTTGAGCTGTTGGCAGCCAACCAAAAACAGGTACAAAATTGCTGCGAAACCAGTAATCAGGAGTGCTGAAGGGACTCGTTATGAAATAGTTGTGCATAATGTGGAGTGCATATTCCTGGCTTAAAGCTGCCTCAGAACTGCAAAGTGGCAAACATCCACGGTTCCAGAAGATCACAGAATCACAGAATCACA